TAGACATTATCGCAACACGAGATAGGAGTAATGTATGTTGAGCAGCCACACAAAGAAATAAATTACAGGAAAGTTTCCCATAAAACCAAACCAGCAGAATGGTTTAGGTTAGATCATCTTTTTGCCTGGGAGTTCAAATATCCCCAAGACAATGACTTTGAAACTCAGTAAGAGGAAGAAGAGGCAGCACTGCCTCCTGCAGCCATGGCACGGCCCGAGGCTCACGGGGACAGTACCTTCAGAGAGAACTGGTACATGGGATGGATGGCATGGAGGTCGTTCATGGTGAAGTACAGCAGAGATGCCCGCGCGGCGGCAGGCCTGTAGTGCTCTCTGGCCTCGTTAATCTTGGCTTCTGCCACCTTAGACTCCTGGACCTGGGAGGAAAACACAGAACAAAATTCCTGTGAAAACATCTTTGTGCAGCCCAGGGGAGGGCTGACGTCTGCCACAATGACGTCGGGCCAACCCGCATGAGACCACCGCAGGGACCAGCCTCCACCCTCTGAACCCCGGCGCAGCCAGGCTTGAGCCGCCCGCTCCCAGCATCCCCCCTCCTCTGGCATATTCTCTATTTAACTGCATTTACCACCCTGTTGCCCAATCCTCTATTTTCCTGAGCCCCCTCCAGGCTTCTCTCTAGGATCCCTGCTCTTTCCTAAGTGGAATTGCTTTTCTCATCAATGAGTTTCTCCTGCTAATTGTCCCCCTCCTGTGCAGGTCATTAATAACACAGGGCTGAACAGACTTAGTGCTGATCTAGAGGCAGCTTCCCCCCAAGGCTGAGAAATGCTCATTTATAACGGCTATTTTCTGCCTTTCTTCACCAGCATTTAATGCACCCCTGCCTTGCTGGCCAGGTGTCTGCATAGCTGCTGTGATGGACATGGTGAAAATCCTTTTGGCAGATACATCACTCCATTATCGTCTCAGTCCTGTTCATTCTTTCATTCCACTTCAGCAGCATAAAGTGACATCCTCCAGCCTCCTGGGGATTATTTTAGGCTCTGGCTATGTACAGTCATGTCTTGCAACACAGCCACACGCTGCCGAGCCAGTGCTGATCCAGCTAGCTCAGCACACCATGCCATGGGGACATGGCAGAAAAGGGCTCAGCACGTGTTGTACAAGCCAGCGAGGCTTGACACAGCCCCCACCAAAACGCAGGTCACTGGGTGTCCCTGTGCCATGACCTGAGCTGGTGTGAGCACATCTGGCTGGGCCACATCAAACCTTCCCAATAAAGCACAGGCTGAGCCTTAATCTGTTGTGTGCAACCAACACGTGTTGGGATCTGTGGGATTACCCTGTCTGCACATCCCCAAGAGCAGCGATGGGCTGTAATATCTGAGTTCCCCAAAGTGCAGCTGCAACGGATGCTGCAGAAATGAGCATCCACAGGGGCCAGGAATCACCTGTCTACATCAGGTGAGCCCCTTTCTGGCAGCACCCATGTCTCTCCATTGACAATAAAGGGAGCCCAGAGCCTAGCTTAGACTTAGACAACCAACTTTTAGATAACTCGTCTTCAAAAAGTTTAATAAATCTAGTAAAATAAAATCCAGAGGTGGGGAAGACAGTTGCTTTCCATAAATAGAGCAGGGAGGACCTCCATAGGAAGGAAAATATTGGCTAAATATTTTTCTTTGGGTAGACAGACCAAGAAAAGAGAAAGGGATGACTTGAGAAGCAGACCTCTAACAGGGACCTGAGATGGTTTTCCATGTGGGTATCAAACTCAAAAACCAGGTGCAAACTCCGAAATTCATCCCTGTTGCCACAGAGCTGGCAGTGACCAGTTTTACAACCACAACTTGTTCAGAAATTGAAGCACTTCAAGAACACCTCCTTCAAGAGGGAGATGCCAGGCTTGCCAGGTCAAAACATCCCTTTGACATCCCCTTTGGGGGTTCAAGCAAACCCTTCTTAGGGAGCTGAATGCAGCTGATGTACCACAAATGGCTAGCAGAAATAATTCCAATTTTATGTGGAGAATCACTTAGTTCCTTGATCACTGGGGCTACAGTGCTGGGAAGTGAGAGGCAGTTCCAGTCTGACCCCAGTACTTATCCAGGCAGCATGGGCCAGTGGGCTGGAGGATGACAAGTGTGGGCTGTGAGGTGGGAGGACTGTGGAGGGAAGCAGTTGAGAATGGCCATACAAGAGTCCTATCACAATCCAGGAATGACAACCACGCTCCTCAAGCTCCCTCAGTGGAAGGGGAAAACCACTTTGCATTTAACTAACCCCATTGAGCCAGCAAGGTGGACTAAGCAGGTGGCAATGCTGACACTGCCCAGCTAATACAACTGCTGATTTACACTCTAGGGAATGGAAGGGTATGAAATACCCAAGTTCTTGCAGATTTACTTGAGATCACAAACTCAACAGACTCCAGTCCCCAGTCAGTACTAAAATCTGGCTTAATTGAGGAAGCGCGATGTATTCAGGATTACGATGGAACAGTTTGAAGCTGCCTTGACACAGTGTGTAAATTTTATTGTCTTTACACCAGGCACTGACGTTTTCTCTTGGTCTTAAATAGGCCATTTAACATACAAAAGCTCCCAAGAACTAAACGGCCTGAAGCTGCCCAGAATGGAGAGCACTTCGATTTATACCACTTTCTATTCTCTGCTCAGCAGAAGGGGCAGAGATGGGCAGAGTAAAGAAGTTAGCTCCACCCAGAAATCCTTAAAGATAACATCACACACATGCTTTTCCCTAGGCTATCACTGTCTTTTTACCTTCTCTTCAATTTCTGCAGCTGTCTGTTTAGTGATCTCCAAGTTCTCCACCAACGCTGTGTCTTCCAGGAAGTTCCCAGATGCTGATGACAGCCGAGAGAGCAAGTTGTCCTCTAACGTTTTCAAGGTGATTTTGAATCCATTCTGTTGCTTTGTGAGATCCGACTGCAAATAATAAATTCAGAAAGTTTTCACCATAAAACACATGGTAAAGTAAGAATTAACCACCTTCACATGGGAACAGGCTTATAACTGGCAATTGCCATAGTGTGACACTGCTTACTCCTGCCTCTGTGACTCCTGAGTAGGGGCAGAGCTCCGGGGATCGCTCTATATCCAACAAGTCATCAACTCAGAGAAACCTTGAACAGCACAGAAAGCACCAGGAGAACTGAGCCCTTTCACTAGGAATGTATTAAAATGCTGGAAATGAATCAAGAGGAAAAGATCTCCATCCGCCATCTCAATGGATCTCCATCCTGTATCTCCATCTTAGAAGTAGCTACTTGTTGGGATCAAGTCATCCTGGATAGTCCCAGCTGCTTCCCACCCCTCCTCATGAACCTCTGCACTTGCCACTACACACCAACACCAGTCACACCAGCAATGAGGACCACGGGGTTAAAACCTGATGGCAAAAACAACAGCAAGGTCACCTGGGTCCAGAGATGAGCACAACGCATCTCAGGCTCAGAACTGAGGGCAAAGTCACAGCCTCATTTGGTTGCTGCTCCCATTTCCTTTCTGGTCTCGAGATCTCACTGGGACCAGTGGCTTACTGTGCTAGAAGCTGTACATGCAAAGACAACGTCCTCCTGCCAAAGAATTTGCAAACTCAGCACAAAGATGGCCAAGCAGATACAGACTGGGAACAACCATCTTGTCTCCGGGGCAGATCTTCACAATTATAGTGCAAATTCTTCCAGTTTCTGTGAAATTCCCCCTCCTTTCTCCCCAGACACTTGTTCCATTTCCCTCTCTTCTGTAGAAATACCAGTCACTAACACTGCTCATGGTGGAAAAAAAGACTCTCATCTGGCTTCTTTTTGAACTGATCCTCCAGAACAGGCTTTCTCCCACGAAATGTGATTGCCCTGTTCTGTGTGTTTGCTCAGGGAAATGACATCTTTCCTGCATTTCAGGTATATTCTGTCATTTCACTGTAAGATCCTATTGTGAACACCTATTTTTAGCGTTATCACAGAAAACATCCTGTGGAAAAGCTGCGTGTCTGATGTGGATGCTGCTAAGATACAAGCCTGGTGACTATTCTCTACATAACTGAAGTCAATCGCCAACAGCCTGGTACACAAAACACTGCTGAGTGATACACAGTGTTAAATCCTCAGGCTGTACATAAGTGACACAACCAAGAAATTCAGGTAGTTTGCAAAAAAAAAAGTGGTTTATAGCCCTGCAAAAAGCAGCCAGCATCATGAAGTAGCAGACGTGGTGCACGTGAAATTGAGACAAGTTCTGGGCCACGGCGACTGAAACATGGCAGATTAAATGTCATAAGTCAAGTGATTTAATGTTCCAAAGACAGCTTTTGGAGAACATCCCCACACCTTCCAACCATCTTCAAGGTGTGGAAGAGCCCCAGAAATAGGAAACATAACTCTAAATGTCTCTTCCAAACCCACAACATACAAGGGAGCCCGCAGTATTTGCTCTGCTGCCAGAGATTTTCAAGCAGATTAACTCTTTCATTAATAAGTCATCTTTCAATATTTGGGCTGGAATTTCACATACTTGCTGCTCACACACTCCTTCCACGTTAATGCCAAGCCAAGTACTCAGCAGAGAGTGCCCCGAAGCAGGCCTGTGGTTGGTGTTTCAGCTATACATTTGTAAAGGTTTTAAAGGCCTGTTGTGTAGGCATTACACACCAGAGTTTGCCCATGGTGGTAAATATTTCACAAGTCTGGAAACAGAAAACTAACACGGCTAATTTTGTGCGTTCCTGTCATTCAAGCATGGCATGCCTCGAAAAATGACAGTTTGCAAGCTGTTATTCCAGACCATGGACTGTAAGCCCTGGAGTTTCTAATGAGGATGTGTGTGATTTTTCCTCCAATAGCTTGCAATCACCACGCAATTCCTGAAACACACCCTTAGCAGTGCACACAATGCTGCATTCCTCACAACAGCCTGCATCCGTTGCAGCTTTGTCATGTTATTGTTTTCTTATCAAAGAATCTTTCTATCATTTCTTATTTCTGCAGCTGAACTCATCATCTGTTGTTTCACAGTTGATATACAACAGCTCGACTTCTGGGAAACAGGTTAGTCTGAGAGCCTTCAAAAGTTTGTTCCATTAAAAAAAAAAAAAAAAAGAAAAAAAAAAAAAGGATGTTCATCTAAGCTACAGGCCAGTTTTGCAGGAATCACTAGCAACCCCTTCTTCGCTTGGCCACAGTAGTCACCTTCCTCTCCTTGTCCTTTCTGTTGGTTTTATTGTATTATTTTAACATCACAAACTAGAGAAAAAAAAAAGAATAAAAAAGAATATCCCTGTATTTTCAGTCCACTCCTGCAGAGCACCTTCTTTCCTGAAGAACCTCAACACTGTCCATCAGAGCCCAAACGTGCAGGGACTTTCACACTCACTTTATCTCCTGAATCAGCAAGGCAGGACTTCAACTCATGGCATATCCACATATGGCTTGGGACACAGCTGCCAAAATATTCTTCCTAAGGCAGCTCTCAGCACTAAACAGACAACGAATTTGAGGCAAATGCAGTTTGAGACATTTCAGACCAAGCAGTGAAGTCTGGTGATGGGGGAGATGCTTGAAACCAGCCTTGGTAAGATTATGTGGACCACAGGCAGTGCCACCAGCAGGTGGACCAACCACGCAAAAGGAAATTGCACATGAGACCAGAGGGAAGCTCTCAGGACTTGGCCTTGCTTGCCTTGGCCGAAACTGGTTTCAGCTTCTCCTTAGCTGTGATTGTCTCACAACCAGGTCACCACTGCCTTAATCCAGTTTAGCCTGGCTTTAACTTACAGTCAGAGCACGTAGCTCTTCTGGACAGACTGACCTGTCTCTAGAACCAAAATATGGCAGAGTGCAAAAGTGCTCTCAGACTCTGAACACCCGTTGTAACGGCAGCGCAATCCTCTGAGTCACAGACGGCTTCAAGGAAAAGAAGGAAGAGAAAGGCTGCATAACTGGGAATACATGAAGAAAAAGATTATGGAGACAGACTGTGTTGAGGAAACATTTTAAAAATGTTAGTGTTATCATAATCGGATTAATAATAGTCACTTGATGAATTTTGATTAGGTTATTAACAATAAATTCTGGGCTCTACATGTAAGGGGTGTTCCATCTTTGCCCATAACAAGATTTTGAGCTCAGTAACTACTTTGTGGTGCTGTAGCAGTCACCTCCACCTGCCCGCAAGCCAGAGCCCTAAACCTTCCCCAGACACCAAACCTTTTTGTTCCAGGGTAGAGAGGATGGATTAAAGCACAACTGGAGAAGTGGTCTCTCCTTTGAGTAATCCAAAGATTCAGATGTGTGTTTTCAGGGAGCTCCCCTCAGCTATCAGACAACAGCTCTAGTGGCTTTTTTCACATCAGTAGATAGACCAGGGGCAGAAGAAGGTACTGAGCCCCAGGCCAGCAGTCACCCACAGCGGTCAGCGCAACCATGCCCGGTGCCAGTCCCCTTTACCATGCCTAAGGAGCCAAGTCTTTGCTTTTATCCCAGCAGGGAAGTGATTTTTTTGGCTGACTATTCCCCATCCAGCAGAACATCTTGAACATCAGAGTGGTTTTCTCCTCCCTGATATCTGCTGGGGCAGCAGGACTGCAGCAGGAGGGAAGCGGACGAGAGGGAAAGCAGAGGTAGTGGACTCTGGTATTATCTTGCTGTGGTGATAAGGAGAAAAAAAGTCTTAAATGTTCTTAAAGGAAAAGAAAATTACATCCCACAGCAATCTGTATCTGCTCAGTGGTTTCTGAAGGGAAACTACAGCCCCACAGCCGGTGGCATAGCTGGCACCTGGGGATGCATTCCTCTGGTCGTGTGCCCACCCTCCTTCTTCCACAACACACACTTCCCGAAGCCGCAGGGACTTGAGAAGCCATGATCCTTGACTCACCACGCCGTTTCACGGGGTTCTAACACACGGTTCTTTCTCAGCGGGGGAGGGAAGCGCTGCTGATTTTGAGTTCCCAATTTTCCGAACCTGACTGTGGCTTTGTCGACCGCGCACGAGACTGAATTTGTCTTTCTTATCGTGACAAGCACCAACAGTGATGCTGCTGAGGCTACTGGGAACGATCCTTCGCACAACGGCCGTTAGTGACACCACCCTGCTGATCGTGGTCACCCCGACGAACCCCCTGAGCGCAAACCAGCAAAGCAAAGCGGCTGTTGGCCCGTTGGCGACCCGGCGCCGGGCATGTGCCAGGGGTGCCTGACCAAGAGGCTTTGGGTCTGTGGCGGTCGCAGCGAGACAGCCGTGGCTCGCACGTTAAATGAGCTCATTATGTATTTTGGATGCCATCTTTTGGCTCGTTAACACATGAGCCTGGTTAAAACTACATGCATCATTAAGGCTGCACAGCCAACGTCCTTTAGAACCTCATTAAATGAAAAGATTAGCACAAAACTGGCCTGGCCTGGCTGAACGTGTGTCCTAAATGTATTCCCACTCTCAGCAAATATTTAGGATTATACATATTTGTTACATTGTTAAATGTGCCATTAGAACAAAGGATTTTCTTTTAAAAATTATCTTGAAACTGAAGCCTGAGAGGTCAAATAAGACCCAGAACTGAAAAATTTCATTACCAGCCTCACAATATTTACAGGGGGAATCCTATACCATCAATGCTTCAAATTAAGTGAGATTATTCCTACCTCCAAAGTTAAATCTGTGAAGCCTAGAAAAAACTTGTATAATGAAAATCTCACTTTCCGTTTCCCAGAGGGGTAGGAAAAGAAAGAGATTCTTACCCAAAGCTTTGGAGAAAAAACTTGAAATTGCAGTTCAAGTGTTTCCAAAATACCGAGAAAACAAAAGACTGAAGAAAAAAATTCCTCGCTGTTTGTCATTTAAGGGAAATCTCCTGATTTTATGATGAGCTCAGCAATCTCGCACATAAAATGCTATTTTTTAAATTATGACAATTATTATTTATTGTTATTACTAATGTTATTGGGTTTATTTATACTGCTCCTGGTGTAAACTCCCAGCTACGGACCTTAAGCCCTTCCAAGTCAGGCCTCTCCATGTTGACCACCGCCGCGAGCAGCTGGTCCTCCAAGCCGTCTCGCGTGACGGTGAAGTTGATGAGGGTGCACTGTGCCTGCAGCTCGGGTTGGAAATGAGGGTTCGCCAGCTTTGTGTGGAGGATGAGACGGAAAGCAGGGTTGAAGTCACACTCCTTGTCCCCAATTTTAATATACCTGAAATTAGAGCAAAAGGAGCATGAGCGCACCTCTCTCCCAGGGCATTTCGCCCGAAGACAAACGGTGGTATCGGTCAGTGACATCTACCAGCGTGGGACTTCGCACTCGTCACACAGAAATCACTATTAAAGCAAAAAGTATTTCAAATTGGATGCACTTGAATCACTTCTGATTTAGGATAAAAACCCAGACAATCGCCCCTGAATCTTGGATCGATTTGAGAAGGCTCACAGTTTCTGGCAGCAGGAGGGCCAGTTCAACCATGAAACTTCCTTGCTTTTTACAGAGGCTGTATTCCACCTAAAGTTGGGTTAGATGGAGGAAAAGCCTCTCAGCATGGAGATTTTAATCCAACACAGCTAAAATTGCCCAGTCTGTTGGCTCAGATCAGGCCAACTCTGCGGTCACACTGAGCTTGAGCAGTGAAGCCAGATTAGGAGAGCGGCTGGTCACCATTCCTGGGACACAACATCACTCAGGAAAACCCAGCCTTTTCCTGCTCTGCATATCTGACATCAAGTCTAAAACTTACAGAGACCTCAGAAATCAACATACTCGAACCCCAAGTTAACAAAACACATGGGAACCAGAGAAACAGAGAAACTGGAGAAGCTTTCAGGGATACAGTTGGACTGTTACGGGAACAGTGGTGCTATCATGGGAATTTGAACAGATATTCCAGTCAAATATCAGTTCACTGGGTAGCCCCTTGGCCACCTTGATTTCTTTTCCAGCTGTGAAACTGAAGCAGAAATAAATCACACAGTACAGGCAGCTCACAGCAGCACCCAGAAATACTGCCGAGAGCCCCGACTTCAAAAAACCTTCTTGTTCTGGGACTGCCAGCACCCATCTATGGGCTTTGGGCTCATGTCCTGGAAAACACAAACCCCACGGACTTTTTATTTGATTTATGACTTTTTTCCCCTTTCTTAGGAAACACATGATCTCACAGGGAGTTTCGAGAGCAGGGACATACAGTCTCAAAAGGGGATGACTGAGTTTTTCACTGTAGGGGAGTGACACTGTAGTGTCCCACCACCTCTGCTGTACCCCATGTCCCCTTTCAAACATGTCAATCCCCTTCAGTAGGACCATCATTCCCTCTGAAAGGATCCTTCCCCCTCCATCCTGCAGCTGATCCCACAACCAGCCACCCTTCTCATGACGCTTTCCCCTGCAAACTTTCCAGACGGCTTGCCTTTCCCAAAAGTTTATATCATTCAAGGATATTTCAGGCAAGGAAGGAAAGGACCCTCAAAGAACTTCAGGAATGTGAAAGGCAGGCTTTTTGGTGTTTACTGCACAAAGTCACGAGAAGGACTGCACTGCGAGGCGCTGCACGGGCGCAGAGGTCAGCCCATGCTGGGCTCCGGCGAGCGCCAAAGCTGTCAGCGCCAGAGACTTTTAAAACCCCAAATGACATGTGTCCTTCTAAAGACTGGTGAAAGCCAGCGAAACAACATCAAAAGAGTCCCCACGTCAAGTTCAGCGCTGAGCAGGAGGTTTTATTCGTTGTCGTTATTTAAGCACGTTAAGAATGTGGTTTTTTTCATACAGAAAGAAGGAAAAAGGGAACTCCCTTGCTGCCCTCCTTGCTGACCTCCTCTTGGCTGGAGGGTGACCAGCAGCTGCCATGAAGAACTCAACCTCATTAAGAAACACTTACATATTCTTAATGCTTAAACCTGCAGCTGTATTCCTAAGTGGTGCACAGTGTTTGCTAAAATTCAAGGTTACTTTTCCTTCATAAGAGCAATAGCTATTTTGGTAATAAGTCGGTGTCGGGGTAGCCAATTACAGACACCAAGGTCACTGTACAAAAGGAGAATTACAGGTCTTGCTTTTACATGAGGTTTGAATGACACTGTCCAACAAAATGAAAAATCCAGGTTTATTTCAAAGCCATCCTATGCCTGAATTACCTGTAATTGCCTGATTTCAAGTGGCTTCTCTTCTGAAGGCAGGATGTCAGTGCTGCTGTATACCAACACCCACAATCTGAGGTCAGGAGCAGAAAGCACAACAGCACAAAGAACCCATTCACACATGCCATCAACTCCCCCTGAAGCTCACCTTCCTTTCTTGATTGTTTCTCGCCCCAGTAATGGCCCCAAAACTGGATCCACGGATTCCTCCAGGTTTTCAATCAAAACCAGTTCTCCTGCAGCCAGGGCTCGTTCCATCGTGTCCAAAAACCTGTGGGGAACAGCATTGGTACCCGGCACAGCGAGGCTGGAAGCGATGTTTTGCAGCAAGAAGGGTGGGAGGGGAACAGAAGGGTGCTCCACGCTGCCATGGCATGACAAACGTCAGCAGTTGCGAGAAAGAGATGTAAGATGGTGCCAACATACGGTGCAGAAAACAGCACTGGTGGACAATCAGCTGTCCAACAAAGAGAACCAGGTCTCAGACCTCCCAAGTGCAAACCTAACAACTGTGTCTTATTTCTCAAGAAAAGAGCATGAGCATCAGTGAGCACAGACGGGACAGCTTGGGGTTACTTTTGGCAAATACTTTGTTTCCCCCAGAACCCACTGGTGCAGTTGACCTTGCATAAAAGCAAAGAAGAGAAGCAGGTTTCAGCTCCGTTTGCCCAGGGTTTAGGGTCACGTTTAGGACAGCTTCTTTCCTCACGAGGGAACTGAGCCCCTGTGCACAGTGCCCAACCGTGAAACTGGGATGCTCTGCATCAGGGTGCTTTATATTGGGAAGAGCAGAGCCAAGTGCTTGTGCTCTCTCCTTCAGGGCTGCTCTGCATTTCACACAACTGCATTCTCTGAAAAGAGGAGAAAAGGGCCCTGGGCAGGCGGTGAGGATGCTCCGGGCACCGTTACACCATCACTGTTGTGCTGAATCGCTCCAACTAACTCCACTGACTAAAATTTAGGTTCCTCGTCTAAGCTAGAGAGTTTGGGACCTCAAGAGGTGATAGAAAGATCTAAGACAAGAAGTTCAGAATGACCTTTAGGTCTGACCTTTAAAGGAATATGTTGGCACAATGCAAACCTCGTCCTTGATCAGCAGCTCTCATTTTTCTGACTGCGGGAATATTTTATATAACGAAACAGTCAGCGAGGACGACAGCATCTGACCCCAAAGCTGCTCAAATGGCCCTTAACTGAAGGAGAGAAGGGTGTGGGCTTAAACCTTTTAAAGGAGCTGAAAGTAAAAAAGTACCATTTCCCAGATGATGAAACACTCCCTTATTTACTGTAATGGGGCAGTAAATGATGCTTTTAGCCAACGGCCTGAGGCATCACAGCAACACACGAAAATCCCCTCTAAGAGCACCTGCCAGCCTGCTGTGTGGCCGGGGAGGGAGGGGAAAAGAGACGCCGTGTTTGCACAGCAAGGTGTGATGGCAACATATGAATGTTACAGGGTCTCCTCTGGGATCCTCACTTTTCCTCAGACTGTTCTGAATAACTGCAAGGCATGATGGCCAGGTTGGCCAGGAAACAGAAATTTGCTCTAATGAAAAATGAGCTGTATTTTCATTCCAGGCAAGATCAAATCTAATAACTTCTTGCTATTTTCTATGAGGAAAGTAGAGGAGGAACCAGAAAAACAACCTGGGCAACCCCAAGAAATCTCCAAGTCTACATGAATTTGCAAGCACCAAGCTTGGGTCACTCTCCCCTGTTGCCAAATAATCTCAGTGCTCATACCCAAGTCAGGACTTGACTCTGGGTCTGCTCCATCCCAGCTGGACTCATCATTAGTGGGTAGAAATAGGTGCAAACTGAGATAGCAGAAGACTGGTCTGTGCGCTGATCGGAGACAAGGGTCCACAGTGGAAGAGCATTCCAATAAAAGATTCAGCCAGAGTAATGCTGGGGTGCTGCAATGAGAACGTCCTAGCTGGTGCCAGCATGAGAGAAGTGTTGGCCCAGCTGTTCTTCAGGGCATGGTGACCCTCATGGCAGCTTCACCCTCTGTGCCCAGGCCCTCTCTCTTCTTCCAAGATGTAGGGGGCCCTACTGACCCTCCTGGGTGAAACCAAGTCAGGACACGACACATAAGACGAGCCTGATGGAGGATGCCATAGTCTTAAAGTATCTCAGCCTCCAGCACACAACCTTCTCATTCTCTGTTTGAGAGGAGTTTCTATGGTAACTGAGCCAAGCACTAAGCAGACCCTCTATTTAATGAGAAATCTCCATCATTTTGGTAATGAATAAGCAGCTAACGCACAAATAGGTTCGAGGGTTCTCCTCAGTGCAATTGGCTCAGATGTTTGCAGTTTGAACGTACGCTGTTCATCAGCTACCACAGGCAGATAACCACTAAGAGGTATGATTACGTGATAAGGCTGATGTTTTTACCCCTTCTGCCCAGTCCGGATCACTCGGAGGTCTTCGCCGTACTTCGTTTTGATCCATTTGATACCCTGCAGCTGGGGATCCACCAGGAGGGGCCAGCGCTCGCAGCTGGTGAGGATGGTGGCGTTTTCGGTGGACATCCGATCAGCTGGCAGGCCCTCGTTCTGCCACGCCGCCACGTCAGCATCATCTGTCAGCATGGTCAGGGGATCGAGGGATGGAGTTACAGGGATTGGCACCTGGGAGGAAAGGAAAAACACTGCCTAGTGTGTCGGCAAAAAGCCACGAGTGGGACTTGCAACATAAAGCATTTTGACTCGAGCATCACTGCCCAGTTGTGGCCCTATTTAAAAGCTTCTTGGCATTCCACCAGGATTTGTAACATCCAGTTACTGTACTGATGTGCAAAAGCTCAATCCTTCAGGAGATCGAGCAGGTGCATTTACTGATGTATGAGAGGATCTGGTAAAAATTAGTGAAATATTAAACAATTTTGAAGCACAAGGGCTTCCATCTGGTCCAAACAGCAAGACATGGGTGAAACCAGCTGAGAGGCATGGCCAGAGTGAATAGAGGTTGTGTCCAGCATGAAGAACCATCTGGAGTTTCTCCAAGCCTACGAGAGAGCTGGCAATGAGCTCTGCCTGTTCCAAGCAATTCCTTCTCCATACTGCCTCCCCCCTTCTAGGCCATCCCTGGTTAAAACTGCAGCATTGGCACTGGGCTCCATGTTTGGGATGCTGCATCGGGGATTTTCCTTTGTACATGGAGGAATCTGGTCTCTTGCATGGAGTAAGGACATCACAACATTTTCCCCGGAGAGGAGTAAATCAAGTGTGGCTATGTCCTGCCCCGACTCGACGGGCGTACAGGGATGCCTTTCATTTGGGAGATCCCCTGCGGACATCAGAATTTATGGCCATGTTAATTCCAGTAACAACTGCTTTTCAGAGAAAGCTTACTTTTAGCTGGTGTAAATAGGGCTTCCAGATTCCGTCCAGAAGGTCTTGACGGTATTTCTTGGTGAAGTAGCCCAGGTAGGAGACGAAGGCCGTGATCAGCAAGACATCTCCACACAAGGTGCTCTGTTGCTGTTTGAAGCCCTTCACAGCTTCAGCCCATCTCACGTTCTCAGAGGCAAGTCCCCCAACCTACAATTCCCAAATTAAATTGATCATTACGGTGGTTCTTTAAGCAATATCTCAGTATCTGGCCATGTCCATACCTTGTCCCTCATGTCAATTGTCATTCACTAAAGTTTAAAACCTGAGGATGGGAAATATGCAGCAATTAATTTGCTAACCCCCCACCACCATCCCATTCAGTGAAAGACTGGTCCTGCAGGTGAATCTCAGCTGTCTGCTCCACGGCTCCTCCAAAATCATCAAGGGAGGATCTGTCACTT